AGAATTAGACTTGTGTATATGTGACCAGCAATCCGAGATAGTTTTATGCAGTTCCTGTGGCCTTACAGTCACAAGATCTAGAGTTAGATGGCTGGATGCAAATCGTTGATCTGTCTAAAACTAATGAGTGCCTTTGGTAACTTCCCTCACTAATCTCTGCCTTAGTATTCTCCTCTGCAAAATGGAAATGATGATAACATTTATCTCATAGGTTGCTGGTTAAGGTTAAATGGGCTAAGGCATTTTAAAATGCTCACAACAGTGCTAGATGCACTGTCCACAATAGCATGTTAACTCCAGTATTCATCCTCATCTCAGAATGTCTTATATGTCCAGGCTAATTTAACTGCAATCTTACCTCAAGGGGTCCCCAGTTTTGTACTTCCTAACTTATATTTCCTTTGGATAGAGTGAGGGAAATGATTGCATTTAGGAAGGATATCAGTTTGCACAATACCATAAAGTGTAGAGAAAGCCAGACAGCAGGTTTGGTCATCTCCCAGCTTCTAGCTTACCTTGTCAGCAATTGCAAGTGCTTTCCATAGTTTCTGGCATGACTTCAGAAAGTTATAGGCCTCATACTTTCTTCAGTCAAAGCATAAAAGGGAGGAACCTCCAAAATATACAATCCTGGAGTCCTGCTTCTCCTTCTCAAGTTCCTTGCATGGCCTAGAGAAAACTCTGAGAGGTTAAGATAAACCAAGGAGCAAACAGAGTTAGCCTCCACAGTGAGCACACCTTGCCAATTAAAAACAAAACAAAACCCAGCTTGTTTTAATTAAATAAGTCAGCATATTGACAGCACACTTGGTGAATGCCACAGCATAGCACAACGTCTTCAGAAACTTTCCACCACTAACCTCTATGTAAGTCTAAATGACTCCAAGAGCAGTTAGTCTGGACACCATTGCTCAAGTCTGGAATGTGTCTATATTTAATTCTGACCCCGTCAGCCTAAGAAACTGATTCAACTCTAACTCAGTCTAAGGGTTTTGTGCCAAGTAGGGTTAAGCTATTTCCTAAATTAGCTAAATACTTAGGCAACTCTCTAGGGAATCAATCATCTTGCCCAAGGATAATTGAGGACCAGACCTGACTTCTACACACCATCCGATCTTTCTGGTCAGATGAAGCGAGTTTTTCTGTGTTCTGTGGTAGACATTAGTTTTAATTTGGACCTTTCCCCATCCTAGACCTACATAGTTGAAAGGCAAAGTCAAAACCAGAAAGATGACTTGATATTTGACGTTGTGTCTGATGTAAGTCATTGTGTTCTACTAATATGCTAATGCAAGCCAGCCAGTTTTGTTAACTATCAAGAAAGCTCTCAGAAGAATTCTAGGGCAGCATGTGAACTGAAACAGAAGATCTTATTAATAAGCTAATTTTGCATGTAGCATTGGATCTTGGCTGATCAGATGACCCCTCTCTGTTCCTGCTTGCCAGAAATTGAATGTCAAGTTCAATGCCTGTGTAATAGGAGTCAGATATCAATAAAACGAATGACAGTAATGCTGACGGCTACATAGTACAGGCATTTTCCTGGCTAACAGTTCTTGTAACTATCTTGCCAAGATTGCTACTGCAATAACAGACACATATTTCATTCAGCCATAAATGATGAAATAGATTTTTTAAATGAACACGTTATATGTCTGTCAGTAATTGAAAGAGTAACCCTTAAAGTGCTTTCAGCTAGCATGTCATGTTTCTTCTGACCATGGAATTTTCTCTCCTACCATCTTTTTTAAACCAAGTATGCTTCGAATCAGTATCTATGAAACATAGGGGGGGAATCACTTAAGAGGAATACCCCTCCAAAGAAATTGATGCTGCTTTAAATGACTAATTAATAATTTACTTTCTCCAAAATAAACCGGAATCCTTTAATATTTTTTGCTCATCCACACATGCCTTGGTGGACAAGCATCTCTCCTCTGCACGATGATAGAAATTTACTGTCCTTATGCGGAAAGGAGGTATGCATGAAGTGGCACAATGGCATGAGTACCTCTTGTTCTTTTCCCTAAGCTCTACCAAAACCATGTGCCATAATTATAGGGCTTCTATTGCCCAGGCCAACTGGGAACCACGTGTGAGAGTCAGACATGAGAACCTAAGGTAAAGATCCCGATGAAAGCAGAGAGGAGAGGCATCCACACTTGAGAATGACACAAAACCATCAGGAGAACAGCTCCTACACCTTCTCTCCTGACCCCTGGAGTTGCTTCTTGTGTCTACTGCATGCCCACCCCTGGGAAACCAAATTCCTTTCTCCTGCCACTTCTCACTCTGGTTCTTTCTGCACTTAAGGTTACTGGGGTCCCTTTCCTCACAACAAATTAGAAAATACCAAAGCCAAGCACGGTGGCTCATGCCTGTAATCCCAGCACCTTGGGAGGTGGAGACGAGAGGATTGCCTGAGCTCAGGGGTTCGAGTCCAACCTGAGCAACATGGCGAGACCTCGTCTCTACAATACATTTTTTTTTTAATCCTGGGCGTGGTGGTACATGCCTGTGGTTCCAGCTACTTGGAAGGCTGAGGTGGAAGGATTGCCTGAGCCCAGCAGGCCAAGGCTGCAGTGGCCATAAGCGTGCCATTGCACTCCAGCCTGGGTGACGGACTGAGACTTCAACTCAAAAAAAAAACCAAACCCAAACATATTTTTAAATAAGATTAATGATAAAGATACTTATACTACTCGGTATAGAACATTTAGGAATTTGAGAAATCACCTCCAGCTTACCATTCTGTAATATGAACTGTTAACATTTGCTTTATTTTTCCTGGGCCATGGATTTTTTTTTTGGTCATAGTTCAGATTATACTTTAAGTATATTAAGGGTATGCATTTTGTTTCTGCTGTTTGTTTTTAGCTTGATGTTATTCATGAACATTTCTCATGTTTTCATATTGTCTTTATATACACATCAATTGAATGTTTAGTGGTGATAAAAATAACCATGTTTTAATATAGGCACTTTATGAAATGGTAAAAAGAAGTAAACAAAAGATTGTCCCTACTTCCCCTTCTCAGGCTTGATCTATTTATTTCTAGGTCTTCTGGATATATCATTGGGGTTATTCTTTATACAGAATTGATATATTGCTTTCTGTTAACTTGACAGTTTCATTAAATTAATCTATCGTAGATGCAGGCTATTTAATTAGTTGTGTGTTTTTGGTGTGGGATATTTATTATGTTGCTATGGTTGTTATAATAATTAAGATAACAATGGCCATTCATGTTCATAAGACTTTAATGGCATTTCTGATCATCTCGTTAGTATAGAGTCCCTCTTAGAAGTCCTGGTTCACATGATATGAATATTTCAAAGCTTTATACTGCATCACCAAATTATTTTCAAGAAAGGCTTTACCGATTTAAACTCCCCAAAAAGCATATGAGGAAATATATTTTCATGCCTAATATTCAAAATTGTATTTATTTGCAATTGTAATAAGATTAATACTTTTAATATTCCTATTAGTCATTTATATTCAATCACACCTTTAAACATTTCTTTTGATTTTTCCCCAAACTAAAATCAGAAAAAAAAGATCGCATTTGTTTTCTTGTACCTTTTAATTTTATTGTTATAACAAATAATGCTTTAGTACATGTAGAGTTTATTTGGGTGCACTATTTGAATTACAAAGCTATCTTTACTTCTTCTTCTAAAAAACTAAATCAACTTGTCAGAGACATACATTGAATGATTTCTCCTTTCTCTCACTGTATTATGTTCTTTGATATATGAAGTCTATATTAGGGGTTTTTTAAATTATCTCCTTACCACTTATGAAGCTCATATCTCTATCATAGATGATACATAATCTCCCAGACAAAATATCATAGCTGCAGCATTCTACATTTTTTAAAGGAAAATAAAATGGTCATCTAGGTGACATATTAATGATCCTTATGTATTATGAGTGTGTGCTGTTTGAGAAAAACAAAATGTATAGTTAGTTGCTGGTTTGATTCTGTGGTTTGGACAAATCAAGTGGAAAGGAAATAACAAAAATTCAAGAATCAACAGGAACAATGAGTATAGATGCTCTAACAAATGTAATGATGACAGAATCTTGTACCCTTTGGCAAAAAATGAGGACTACAGTTTTCCTACTGATACCCTAGGTCAGTGATGTTGAAGAGATAGAGTGTGTTCTGTCCTGGGCATTCCAGAATGATCTGGGATCTTCTTCACAAGAAGCAAACTCATGCATACTTCCTCAAGCACTCCCATCTCCCCTCCCCCTGTAGCCCTCTACACAAGATCAAGGTTCTTAGTGACACCATCCTGTCTGTGACTCAGACTTATCTTATTTCTTTTCTTATTCACTATGTGGACTCAGACATCTGAGATCTTTATCATCTGAGACTGTCCTTATTTCCAAGAGTGGTAGTTTACACTGAATTACAAGGCTTCTTTCTTCAAATTATCCTTCAAAGTTTTATTTTTCATTTTTCTTTTATAAAAATTGCTTCTGGATGAATTTTGGAAGTGACCAAATTTGAGCTCTCAAAGATGATGGTAATAATAATGTATGCACACATACATGTGACTTAATCGTGCTTTACCTTATGTTCTGCTTGCGTGTGATGAAAGAATTCTGACTCACTGCTTGCATAGCCAGTCAAGATCCACATAACAGCTAGTGAGAGCCTCTTGCCAGGTAGGCTCAGTTCCTTAAGGAAGTCCAACTTAAGGAGACAGACACAAGGATTGTTTCAGAGACGCAAATATTAAACCACCTATATATTGTTACATTTTTAACTTAGAAATCAATATGTTCTTACTAATGAATCAAGGCATTAAAAGTATTTATATTTTTCTCACTTTCAGAGTTTTCCACATGGCTCTTAAATAATTATTTACACATTTTTTTTTAAGTTCAAGTTGATTGGATTCTTATGACCTGAAGTGGCAATGAGCAAAAGATTAGGAAGGAGTTTCAAGAATGCACATTCATCTTGGTGTGTTGTTTGTTTCAGCATGCAGACATTGGATATTGGAATTCTGGACATCTTTGGTTTTGAAGAATTTCAAAAGAATGAATTTGAACAAGTAAGTAGACTTTCCTGTGAAATTTTGTGAACTTTAATGTTTTTTTTCCAACTAAGTTCGTTCTTTTATACTTCAGTAGAGTGTAATTACTTGCACATATGGAGTTAAAATAAGTACTTTGTTTTCATGTTTCAAAATGAATATCCCTAGTTTGCTGATATAGCCATCGTTTTTATGTAGTCTTGTAATCAACTGTCATATTCACACATAGAGAACAGAGTTCTGTGAACAGGGTTCTCGCTATTTTTAAAAGATAATGCAAGATGAACACTTGAATTTGGCTTATATAAATGCTGTTTCTACTAGGTCGGAGAGAAGGAGGACATACATATTTGAAATGAAGGCAAAGATCTTCACAAAACCTTGGCCAAATATCAAAATAAAAATATTCTATTATGCCACATGCAGTTATTTATAGATTTATCTCCATGTGACATTTAGACATAGGACTATTAGAATCTCACAAAAATGTATTAGACAGGCATTGGTTTTTTTAATTTTATTTTTCTCTTATTTTCTTTTTGTTTCCCAAGTTGAAGTATAATGGCATGCTCCCAGCCACTGCAGCCTTGACCAGCTAGTCTCAGGCGATCCTTCTGCCTCAGCCTTCCAAATTGCTGGAATTACAGGCTCATGCCACCATGTCTGGCTAGTTTTTTTTATTTATTGTAGAGATAAGGTTTCTCCAAGTTGTCCAGCCTGGTCTCGAACTCCTGGGCTCAGGCAATCCTCTAACATCCACCTCCCAAAGTGCTGGAAATACAGGCGTGAGCCACTGCACCTGGATAGGCATTTGTTATTTCTAATCCATCTACAATTTAGGGCATATTGAAAAGTACTGAATTATTCAGATACCTTAGTAGTACTGCATTAATAGTTTTATCAAATTAAATATTCCTGAAAATTAAGTGCTAATGAAGACAGTAGAAATACAACTGTCCTTGGCAAACAGAAAAGAAAAATAAACCTGTAAAAAGGTACAGGTGGAAAGATAGAAAACCAAGCTGCATTATATTACAGGAAGAATGAGTTATGAAGAATTTGGAAATAATTTGTAATGATTATATAATTTGTTTAGTTTTGTTTTTTTATGGTAGATAATGTGTTGGTTAATTACACTGGATCAAGATTTAAATAGAATGTGTTTGAGACTCAAGTTTGTGACTTTTACTAGCAAAGATTCCTGGCCAAGATGAAGATTCTGATTCTTGGCTTTCTTGTTTCTTCTTTCTTTTTTCTTTTTTTTGAGTTGGAGTCTCACTCCGTCGCCCAGACTGGAGTGCAGTGGCCTCTCCCGGCCACCGCAGCCTCAACCTGCTGGGCTCCGGCGATCCTTCCGAGTAGCTGGAACTATAGGCGCGTGCTATCACGCCCGGTTGATTTTTGATTTATTGTAGAGATGAGGTCTTGCCAAGTTGCCCAGGCAGGTCTTGAACCCGTGGGCTCAGGCAGTTCACTCACCTCAGCCTCCCAAAGGTTCTTGTTTCTAAAATGAGGATAATATTCGATTTACAGAGTTGCAAGATTAAACATGATTAAATAGTGTAATTTCCTTTCACCCTGTACAAATGACTACCATTACTGTTGCAAGTGGGAATACTTTAAGATCTCTTAAACTTTTGCACTTCACCCAATTTTATTTTTAGAGAAGTTCTGTATCATCTTGTGTTCAAATCTTAATTTTGCTGACTCACCTTATCTAGGATGAGTCAGCATGAACCATGTACTTTACGAAACTTTCTGAAAAGTCTAGTTTGAAGTAAGATCAAGGAGGCCATAGATTTCTTCTTCTTTCATACTTTTCTGTGGATTAATAGAGAAGGAAAGACTTAATGCTTTTATTTTTATTGCTTACTCTAAGAAAAATTGTGATGAACATAAAAAATAAAACAGTTAAGTGTGACCAATAGAATTTACAAAAATATATGCAGGGCCACAGTTTTCCCTAATGAGTTATTTCTCAGCTCAAATGTCTGAATGTTCTCTGGCATCTATATGTATTCCTTTTGTTTTCATCTTAGAAGATAGGCAAGCTTTCATGTCTGTGATGAGATACACTAGTTTATTCATCTCCTGGTAAGGACATGTAGAAACTATAAATGGAATGATGTCCTGTAAAGTTCTCTACTAGAGTTGTTGCTTCACAAGTTTCTGCCCCACTCCCAGACGTCATTGTCAAACGGATTTGTGCTAACAACAAGTATGTTCAAAACATGTATGTTGTTTTCTTATTGCCATTTTCGAAATCCCTATTATTCTTTCTTTCTCCTAAATAGTTTAATGATATCTTTTAGAATAGGTTGACAACGTGAGATTTCTGTATCACAAGAATTTATGATTTTTAAAAATTTATTTAAAGAATGAATCTTTGTTAAATGCCAATAGCTAGCTTTCTGCATTTATGGGTAAAATCTTAAGACCAGTTTTGAGACTTAAGTCATGAAAAAATTGTATTTTAAAAATATATATTTATTAGCAGATGTTCATTTCTATTGTGCACACTAGCAACGAGGCGTCATTTAGGAGGACAAAATTATTTTCTTTATGATGAATGCAAAACTCATTTTAAACTGGATTTATCAAATTCCTAAATTTTCATGTGAACTGTTGTTCTAAAGGTCAGTGGTTTGAGTGATACATTTTAGATATTTGCAACTTAACAGAAGGCTGACTTCCTCATTTTAAAAAATGTCATCGCAAACTTTCAACAAACTGCTTAACAAATCAATGCTGTATGCAGAATCAAACTTGGAAAATTATTAGAGATTTTATAAGCATTTACTTTATTCTGTTTTGTGCTTATTAACCAATCTGTCAGCTATTCACTTGGATGTTAACTCCAGCAGGGTTGAAATTGTGTCTGCATTTTGTGTATAATAAAAGTTTAATGAGTGTGTTTTTAATTGAAATTAAAAGAGTAATAAACTCATAAGAAATTTTTTGTAGCGCATTTTCTAGTGGTTCTTCTTGTGAAGAATAAATGTATGTATTTCTTGGCAATTGTTCTCTCATAAGAAGCTTGACAAATGTTTAGAATAGGGATACACCTGAGGAGATATTAAGAAGCACTCCACAACTCATTTCTCCAACTTCAGTATCCTCTAGTATCCTTAAAAGATTAAATGGATGCTTGTGATACTCTCAAATGAGAATTTTTTTCAGCTCATAGGAAATTTTAATCCCATTCTTTGACTTTGTCTTAGTCAATTCAAGCGGCTTTAGAAAAAATACTTTAGACTAGGCACTTGATAAACAATAGAAATTATTGCTCACTGTTCTGCAGGCTCAGAAGTCCAAGATCAAGGTACCAGCAGATTTAGTGTCTGGTAAGGGCTGCCTGCTTCAAGATGGAGCCTGACTGCTGTGTCATTTACCTGGCAGAAGGGCAAGGTGGTTCTCTGAGGGCTCTTTTATTATGGGCATTAATTCCATTGTGATTTAATCATTTCCCAAAGACCTTCCAGGAATATCACCTTAATAATTAGGCTTCAAAATATGAATCAGGGAGGGACACAGATATTCAGACCATAACATATTTTAAAGAATAATTTCTACTCAAGATTAGCACTTATAATAAATAAAATTTTCAGTTTAAAAACATAGTTGACATACTCAGCACAGAAACAAAATCAGTGCATAAAATCAATAGCATGTATTTTAAAAATAATTTGTTAGAAGATGTGATGGAAAAGAAGACAGCATTTATGTTGTTACAGACAAGCGGGCAACCTAAGCTAGGAGAAGGCCAAAATGTTTCTGAAAGGCAAAGTCAACTTTAATGTGAAGGCATACTGCATCCTCAGACAGAAAGAGCTAAGTATTATACAGATGACAATCCTTCCTAAGCTAATGTATAACTAGATGCAATGTCACTCCAAATAAATGAAGCAATGAATGGTAGAATTAGCATCAGTCAATTTTAGAGCTCCTAATAAGTAACGAATCTAGGCAACGAGTATAAATAACTGCTAACATTTTAAAAAGAGGGACAACATGCACAAAACACCTATCAAGTATTGCTACAGGGAGGAAGGGAAGAAAAAAAGAGAGAGGAACAGAGGGAAGAGGGAGGGAGGGAGAAAAAATAAATAATGAAGTCTTTAGTTAATAGGAACCAAGGACAGAGGAACATGATAAAATATACCATGAGGATGCACGCTGCAAAATTCATCATTTGGAAAACTGCATTAGACAGTCAACCTGATTTCTTCAGCAGATAAAATACAGGGGAAAATGTGAAAAGACAGGACCTACAGATTCAAAGTGATCTAAAGACATACACATCAGGTGAATGTGCGGACAATGTGGAACCCTAAGTTGTTATATTAAGAATAAACAATTATGAGATTAACAAGCAATTAAGATAATGTGGTATCTGGACAATGGAGGACATTTTAAAATAATATTGTTGGTTATATTATGTGTGATAAAGGTCCTGTGGAGGTGTTTTTCTAAGATTTTAATTCTGCTAAAAACTTCTAAGATAATTCTACTAAAATATTTGCTGACTTAATGACACAATGTCTGAAAATTACTTGAAGTCAGCTTATTTTTGAGGGCATTAAGAAAATGGAGAAAGCAGAATTGTCCATAAGTTGGTAATTACTGTTAATTATTGAAGTTAATTGATGATAGAGGAGGTTTATTACATGATTCCCTTCACTGTGGAATATGTTTGAAATTATCTATAAAAATGTCATTTTAATTTAAATAGGTGAGAAAATATAGAGATTATATAAATATTATTTTAATATGATAAACTTTTTCTTCCCAAACGTGTTATTACAAAGCTGTGTGTACTACTGATGTATCAATAGAGGAAAGTAGTGGAAACAAATGATATATCATGCAACAATTTCTCTAAATTCCCCCACTAAACACATATGTGCAAACGCATATAATGAATTATTGAACTTGGATTCTGGTAAAATTACATGTCAATAATTGCTGGAAGAATTTAGGGAACTTGGTGACAGAACACATTTGCTCAAAATAAAAGC